TATATTATTTCACTTTAAGTGGGCGGAGCCACGCCGGGTGTCCAATTTTTAACTCGGCTTATACAGAGAGTATTTAATAATTGATTTATTGCGCATTTAGTAGTTTTTAACGCTACCGTTATGTGAGGAATGGGAGGAGTTATCCCCCTTTTCATCCATTTTCACACCGTCGGTAAGAGTTTTTTAAATATTGGCGCTAGCCGAATTTTGCATTTGTAGCTTTAATGGCTTAGGAGGTATGTACATTAAGAGTACTAGAAAGCAAGGCCACGCCCACATTTTAGATTTTTTTCCCATCAACGTTTTTGTCAAGGAACTTGCGTACCATGTTTTTACACAAGTTGTAGTTTTCACGGATGCGGACGGACAGACAGACAGTCACCCGGCTATCAARTCGTCTCGTCATCCAGATCATTTATAGATATATGCATAACCCTATATCGACCTCGATTCGTATTAGATGATAGATACAACCGTTAGGTGAACATTTATTACACTCTGTATTAACGTGTTAGATTCAGTAAGAGATCTGGAGTACCATTGATGCGTACACTAGCTGCCCTTTGTATGTTTTTTGTACGTTTTACCGCTTATTTCTTTAACACTTTTGGCCACCATATCAATATACCTTACCTGAAGGTGAAAAATAGTGTACCTGTCTTCTTCACCCTAGCATGTAAAGAAAGCTTCCTGTCTAAAATTAGTCCCAAGTAGCTTGCATTATCCATTACTATTTAATAACTTTGGTGTGACTTCTATAGTCCTGTGCTTCCTAGTGAACAATATTAACTCTGGACCATCGATTTATGCAAATAATATTAGCATAAAGTTTACGAAGATATTTGGGAATATACCTCTAACTACCACTTTTAAAAATAGATAACGCTCCCCCTTGGTATGTACCCACCGTTGGAATTACTGAGCTATATACTCGTATGTTGTATGCTTTTAGTATATGTACTACTATGACTTTCCTCTAAAACGAGTTAATATAGAGGAATATAATCACTACTCCGCTTTCTGTTGCATACGTACATAACAGCATGGTTTTCAAAGCAGGCTGGGAAGAAAGTATTAGTTCACCCTAACCAGTTTACCCCAAACTTCAAAGGCTAAGCTGTCGGCAAAATACCGAAGGCTAAAATCATTTGCCTATGTGGCCCGGAACTKCATATCATTGCTGTTATGAATAAGGAAGATGCCGAAGGAACAAATTTTAGAGTCCAATAGAAATGGGTATACGTTGTGCTGAGTAACGTGACGCTGGAGGTGCTACGAAGCAATTCGGGTCGTTTACCGTCATGCACGGATGCCGGATGGCATCAGGGCCTAATTAAGTTCCAGCACTTCTACTAAGACCAAGCTTAGCACCTGTATTTTTTGCGGCTATTTTCGGCCTCGTTACGAACGATACTCTCTACTAGTTAGCTCCCTTCTTTCCTCTTTWATATTGTTTGTTTGGTACCCCCGGCTACACAAGTAAAACAGTCATATTACTGACTGCATCAGGTATCCGTAATCTCCATTCGAGACTGAGTTATTTGAGGGATCAAGAAGGCTAATTCTTGGCACGGGTCACATGGCACCTTGATCCAGCTATGTTTTGTACCCAAAGAAGTAATTCTTCTTAGTTGAATGATGTGCTATAGAGGAATAGCGAAAAATTAGACCTTAGCTAGACATCTCCCGACCTCAATGAAGACGAACCGCCACTACGCTATCTGCATGATACTGTGATATCAATTACCAGCCAGCACCCACGAGGAGGGCTCAGCGTGAAATTTCTGCCGATAACTAGGCTTCTTGACCTGTAAGGTTGACATAGGAAAATCTCTAAGCAAATTGACACCTTTCGTGAAACACATACATAATCCTGTGTAATCTCCCTCTTGGAAATTATCAAAATCGTAAGAAAATTTCCGGTCATTCTACATCAAGTTTTCATATTGAAATTAATATTGACAAAACTTTGTATTAAGGGGTTACATTCGTCCAGCAGCACCAAAAATACGCTAAAAGAAAAACTGTTTTCAAAAGGGATAACAATAGAAATAAATATAAAGAAATTTTATACAATCTTGATTGGTACTTAAAGTTTATAAAAAAGGTATTTTAATTTTTCTGTAAAAAAATTACTACATTAAATATCACGTGAAACAAAGCACAATGAAAATTAAGTTGCTCCACGGTCTTCATCGTTTATCCTTGAAATGTTGATGGATCTGTAAAAATAAAATAAAAATATTGTAAAATGAAGTTGTAGTTATAGTCTGTCGAGCCAAATTTTTTAATTTCGAAAAATTTTCCAATTTACGAAATCTAGAAAAAAAACTATGCGTTTTACGTCATAAATGTCACACTTTAATTATGTTTATAAAATTTTTAATAAAAATATCGAAAATCCGGCTCGACAGACTACAGAGAAAATATTTTCGAATATTAAAAAAAAAAATAGCATCATGTTAAAAACTGTATGAGTTATCATGCAGACCGTAGAGGGAAAAGTTATTTCGAGGAAAACGCGTTTAAACTTTCATGTGCATTTCGCGCGAGTTAATATATCTATCAACCAAAGTCCTCATCAATACACACGACATGAAACATTTCAGCAAATCACAGATCGATAACACATTACAAGAAATGGTATATAAAGAAGCACAACACAATAATATAGGTT